GTGACAGGAAACAGCAAAACTCTGTACAAAAACCTTTGGAGCAAAGACAACAGAATACTCCACAACATCCACTAGAGGGAGCCACACACTGTTAAACCTCTGGTTTGTTAGCACACAGGAGGGTCTCAGGATATTTTAAAACTGTTGCTGAGTGAAGCCTGATTTCAGACACTAAAGCATCACAGTGAAGTTTTGACTTCTCTTAAAATGAAACAAGTGAAAGATTTTTCACAATAAAGCACAAAATTCTTCATGACTTAAAAAGAGTCCATTAGGTTGTCTTGATGCGCGCTCAATCATCCAGGTAAGGAAATCCCAGAAAGTTGAATCTGTAGCGTCTTCAGTGAGAGAACTTTTCTTCACTCCCCCAGGTGACTTCTTCAGTCTCAGCTGACTTCAGGTTTCCTTATAAACAGTACATTTGCATAATGACCAGCATCACAGATTAACAGTAAGCTAATGTGTCACCGTGTCACAACAAGCAACTATTCTGCCATCACTTCCCTCTGAGTGCTCCTAAAGATTATTCCAAATTCAAGCTTTTCCTTTCAGTCAGGTGTGAGATGGAAACACAGGATCCCTAAGCTTCTATGTTATAAAATCACTTTTAGACCTCACGTTGTACTTTTGTTTGAATCGATTATCTCAGAATCTGAACTTGTGTAAATCTACGTTTGTCCTTCTTTGATCTTCCCTGAGTTCCTTGGACTTTCATATTGTTCTGAGTATTGGTGGATCCAATGAGGTCTGTCTGACAAATCCTTTTTGTGCTGCAAAGATTTGGAAGGGGTGATTATTCACGCCGATGATGTGCTTATATATGGCAGAGACAGGCAGGAGCACGACCAGAGGTTGCACTGTGTCCTTCAAAAGTTTCAGAAGGAGGGTCTCACTCTGAATGAGAAGTGTGAGTTTTCTAAAAGTCAAATAATCTTTGTGGGACACAAAGTGTCAGCAAAAGGCATTCAGGCTGATCCCAATAAGGTAACAGCAAACCAGCAGCTGCCACAGCCTCAGAGTGCGGCAGATATGCGCCGTCTCATGGGCATGGCCAACTATCTTGCCAAGTTTATGCCACAACTAGCCACAATCACCACACCATTAAAGGAACTGCTAAAAGACAGAAACGAGTGGATATGGGCGGAGCCACAGGATACAGCGTTTAGGAGACTAAAAGGCATATTAAGCTCTCCAGAAGTGCTCGCTCAGTAGTCCAACTCAGCCGATACACGAGTCGCTGCAGATGCATCGCCATATGGTATCGGGGCTGTTCTCACTCAAAAACAGTCTGACAACTCCTGGCAACCGGTCACATGCATCTCAAGAGGTCTCACAGACACAGAAACGCTACTCGCAGACAGAAAAGGAGGCACTCGCTGTAACATGGGCGTGTGAACGACTGTCATCTTATCTCATGGCCCTACAGTTCACTGTAATCACAGATCACAAAGCCCTGGTCCTCTTCTGAGCACAAGAGGCCTGGACGACCTGCCTCCACGCATCCTGAGATTCCTCCTCAGGCTGCTGCGCTTTACTTTCACCATTGTCCATGTTCCAGGGAAGAACCTCGTCACTGCTGATGCTCTCTCACGAGCACCGCTGGTGGGGCCTCCTTCTGCTGGGGCATCTTCAGCTGGAAAAAGAGGTGGAGGTTTTCATGCACTGTGTAGCTTACCATCTCCCAGCCACAGATAAAAGGGTGGAGGAGATAAAGCTGCTGCAGGAAATGGATGACCTGTGTAGAAAGGTGGTGTATCAATGTGGGACAGGCTGGCCAGAAAAAGGTAAACTAGATCCAGAGTTAAGGGGGTACTGGCAATACAGACTGGACTTCAATGTGGTCCATGGCCTTCTTATGAAAGGGGAGAGACTTGTGATACCACCTCAAATGAGAGCAGAGGTTTTGTCACGTTTGCATGAAGGCCACCAGGGCGTTTCAACATGCAGGGCCAGTGCAAAAGAGTCAGTGTGGTGGTCGGGCATCTCAACCCAAATATGTCAGATGGTAGACAAGTGCCAAACATGTCATAAACACAGGTTACAGTGCCGTGAACCAATGCTGGCGACTCCTGTTCCTGACCGCCCATGGCAAAAAGTCGGCATGGATCTGTTCGAGTGGTCAAAGAAACACTTCCTGCTGATTATTGATTTTTTCTCAAGGTACATTGAGATAGCTGAACTGAGACACACAACAGCAGAGGTCACTATTAATGCTATAAAAGAGGCCTTTGCAAGACATGGTGTTGCCGAGACTGTCGTATCGGATAACGGGCCGCAGTTTTCCTCAGAACAGTTCAAGCGCTTTGCCAAAGAGTATCAGTTCACACCTGAAACGAGCAGCCCTAGGTACCCCCAAGCCAACGGGGAGGCAGAACGCGCTGTTCGTACCATTAAAGACTTGTGGAAAAAGGACTGTAACTACACCAGAGCACTGCTAGCGTGCAGGGCCACCCCACTGGAACATGGGCTCTCGCCGGTGCAGTTGCTTATGCGTACCTCGCTGCCACAAGCTGCAGCAAAGCTGGTGCCAAAGTGGCCCGACCTACAGGCTTTTCGCAAGCAAGATAGGGAAGGGAGGCGTAAGAAGGCAAAACACTACAACCGCAGTCATAGAGTCAGACCACTTCTGGAACTATTGTCAGGACAGAACGTGTGGATTACCACTGAAGGAACCACTGGAGCAGCAGTTGGACCTACCAGTGCTCCCGGATCCTATGTGGTAGAGACAGACAGGGGTTTTCTGAGGAGAAATAGGAGACACCTCAGACCAACAGGGACTATTACCAGATCTGGTCGAGTGGTGAGACCTCCTGAAAGACTGGATGTGTAATTCTCTGAAGTTATCCATTCATGCAAGAAGTAAATAGTTACCCAAAGTATATGCTCAAATGTGTCTCAGAAACAACAGTTAAAGCTGAAGAATTCAACGACAACAGATTTGATGCAAAAATCAATGAGAAGCAAAAGTCAGCTCCTCTGAAGATCCAGAAGCTTCAGCTGTCTGACTCTGCTGTGTACTACTGTGCTGTGCGGCCCACAGTGACAGGAAACAGCAAAACTCTGTACAAAAACCTTTGGAGCAAAGACAACAGAATACTCCACAACATCCACTAGAGGGAGCCACACACTCTTACACTTCTCTGGTTTGTTAGAATGCAGACTGGTGACATTTAAAGGTGGCAGTCAGTCAATATATTAAAAATTAAAGATGTACAATGTGTGAAAATGATTAAACTGTTAACAATATTGTTACACACTGATGGAACTGCATTCGTTCTGGTGCTGCACATTGAGGTTCATTACTCTGAAACACAGCAAAACAGCAGTTCGGTGTTACTGTCAGCTTCCATGGCCATCACTGGCACTGGGTTAGTTTTTTTTTTACTCGTAATGGCCATTTAGTAATAAATCAGTTGTAATCAGGGTAACCTAGATAATAGAACAATAAAAAGTTCATAACTAAAGACGTGCAGACTGGGCTACTAAAACATTTCTTTTTTTTCACTGAATTTCATTTCTGGTGGAATAACACAGTTACTAAGTCAAAGGTAGGACCAACGTCATTTAGCTAGCACACCCACGTTACTTCCACTCTGTGCTATGATGTCAAACTATTGTCACAACAAAACCAACAAAGCATTTGGGAGGCGGGGCAACCACAATCACATTAAAACTACTTTTACAAGAATTCTCAAAATGGTCAGGATGCCAAGATGTCTCAGTAAAAATATTAAACATTGTAGATGGAAGTTTCTGTGTTGGTCTGTCAGGCTTCTGGTGTACCACAGGCCAGACACTATTATGTGTAAGCAGTTTATATATCATCAATTATATGCAAATATGCTAAGAAGTTAAATAAAGTAATGAAATGTTAGTTTCAGAATTCACTAAAATCTTGTTGTTTACACCTGAAATATGTGCTGTGGGGTTTTTTTGTTGTTGTTGTTGTTTCATCCTTTTAAGTCACAGTTTAAATCGACACTTTAGGTGAAACATTTTCTGCATTTTACAAGAATAAAGAATTTAACCTAATCTAACTTGTGTTTTTTTTTATTGGCGACATCCAGATATATGTTTTCCCGCAGGTTTTACAGAGGTACGGTGTCTCTCCTCTGTGGATTCTCTGGTGCACACTAGTGATGTGTCAGTCGTGAATGAAACGACTCTTCTGACTCTTTGAAAAGAATGAGGGGAGCCGGCACCTTATTGGGAGCCATTTTTTTTCTTTCTCTCACCCTCGCTGTCTCTCTCTCTCACTCACTTTCTTCGCTTCACGCCGCGCGTGAGCCTTGTATTTGCGCTGAGTAGAGGGGGGAGGGTCAAGGTCAAGGTCAAGGTCAAGGTCAAGGTAACTGCATGTTGAAACGCCTGGTGGCCTTCTAATTACTCTCACAGCAGCACACAAACGTAGCAGGAGAGAGAGAAAGAGTGCAAGGGGCAACAACAAGAGACAACACTGACACATTAGAAAGGTATAGTAAAGAAAATGAATGACACCAAGAAAAGGAGCTAAATCTTAAACCATTTCCATTTTATTGACATGACATAGGCAGAGTGTAGAGTCTGCAAGAAAAGAATATCAAATACAGCCGGCTCAAACAACCTGTACACGCACCTGAGAACTGTCCACCCATCAGTGCAATGGGAAGATAAAACACAGAGTGTTATATTAATGAAGGTGCCAGTGTGTCTACTGCAGCTGTTTCTGCTGCATCTACAACATCATGCTGTACATCACCACAACCACATAAACTAACCCAGAGCTCTGTGACTCCAGGAAGACAAAACTCAATTGATAAAGACCTGGCTGTCATGGTCCTGGGTCTTTTGACCCAGCGTTTTGTGTTTTCTATTATTGTGATGTATTTTGGTTATGGTTTTCTAGCTCTTTGGTGTTTGGTTCTGTTCTTCCTCAGTTTTGTGTTTAGTCATTGTTGCCTGTGTGTTCATCTGTGCAAAGTCCGTGTTTCTTAGTCTGTGCCTTTGCATGTGTGAGTTCCTGTTTTATTTTGAAGGTTTGTGTCTCAGGTTGTATTCTGTTTTACTTCCCTCAGTCTCATCAGCTCTGAATTCCCCCAGCTGTGTCTCCCTCTTGTCTCCCA